ATTTTATATATGCCAGAAAATATGCTAATCAAAATTATTCTATCCATTTGTTAATTATAACAATTCTTTGCATTTAGAATTAAAGAAAGTGAAAACACATGACATGTAAAGTTATAGAATTCTAAAACATCAAATAAATTTTTACCTATACTGAAAGCATTGTCTTGTAGTTTTTCTATGAAATATCATACTGTTTTAATATTAACCAGATTGATAAGTAAAAAATAAAACCAAATGACTAAATACATGACATTAGAAAATATTAACATCTAAATCATGAAACCATTGAATATTGAAAAATGTTTTCACATTACAGTTGGATAAAAAAAATAAAGCTTAAATCATAAAAATCATTGAAAAATAAAACCAAAACAAGACTGAACTTTAAAAAGTTTCATTTAAGGTTATAAATGAAGTGCCTACAATTTTGTGAGAAATGACTTACATTTTTGTTCAGATAATTGAACCTATTGTGTTCTTGATGTTGTTTACACAATACCTATATCAGTTGATCCATTCTTAAATCCTTGTCAAATTTACCACCCATAAGAAAAGAGGAAAATGTTAGCAGAAAATAGATGAATAATAAGTCATCCAAATCAGTTCATTTCAACAGAAATTGTTACATTGAACCCAAGGTGGTTAATATATGCCTTTCTTTCATCAGATATGATACTCCATACCAGATTTTTCCACCTCATCTTTGCTTACAGCTTTCTTATGTTCCTTAAATCTACTCATTAATGTGACATTTTTCAAATGCTTCTCCTGTAAGAGTCCAAATGAAGAGTAGCCTTCTTGGTCTGAAGATCACATTGAAGCATGAAACTTACAGTCCCTATTCAAAGTTGATCCTTATGATACCATTGTCTATATCAATAAATGTTCGCTCTTCAGTATTGAACACTCATCCTCATAATATAACAAATGTTAACAATAGATATACAACTGTGTGTGTGCATTCATATAGGGACTAAACCTTTAGACAATTTATCAGGCTTACAGATAATCAAAATTATCAGAAATCTAAATATATTTTAATCATCACAAACTTTTTTGCAAAATTGATTCTCCAAACATCAGTTAAATTAATTTTCATAATTTTTTTTTCATTGAGAAGATGAACTGGAGAAAAATCCAATATGAAAATTATTTTCTTCCATTAGGAATAGATTCAATTTTTTTTTTAAATTTGTGCTTGCATTTCTACCTGTCACCCCAGATGTTGATTTATCTTTAGATTAAGTGGATTAACTTTAAATAAACAAAATCTGTTTGTCAAATGGATTAATTTACAACTGTTAAAACCACTTGTGTACTTTTCATTGTTTATTTTATATTTAAAGTATATATTTTATATTTAAAGTATATATTTTAGATTTAAATTATATATTAAGCCTTAATACAAAAATTGAGAAAAAGCCAGAACTCTTCAATTCCTAAACTTTCTGGATAAATGATCTGAAAGTTGTAGTCTCATATTTGTTCAATGCTATTTTCAGCAATCAGTATATGAGCAGGCCATCTGGGGGCAAATTTTAGTGTGTGTGTGTGTGTGTGTGTGTGTGTGTGTGTGTGTGTGTGTGTGTGTGTGTGTGTGTGTGTGAGGGGAGGCAAAACTCAAAGTGGATGTGAGAAGATTATTTTTATGCTTTGCCTTGCCAATTTATACAATTTTCAGAAATTATTTTTATAATTACTGTAATAATACTGTATTAAATAAAATATGACTAAGTGAAATGTTTTTCCCAAAGATTAGTGGTAGTAGCAGTAACAATGACAAGTTTGTTTATAAATAATATCCACAGATTTCATGAACTTTAATTTTGTGATCTTCATGGCAGCTAATTCATCAACAAAACAGTCTAGCATAATACTTTCAAACCTTCACTAAAAAAGTCCAACACTATTTTACATGGAAAATTCATTTTAATGATAGTTAATATAAGTTCTCAAACAAGACAAACTTTATGGAAATTAACAATAGCTTGTATATTTTGCAGTATATTGGTGGAAACCTAAGATCATTAAAAGTGGTGGAGTTGCCTAGAAGCCAGTCAGAAATTAGGTAAGAGACATGACCCCTCTTGCCCCTACTCAATTGTCAGTGTCTTATCAAAACATTTCAGCAGATAGATTTTTCAGCTTTCCTCAGATGCACAAATCATTTGGAGTTTTTCCTTCTTCCACTGATAGTTTCAAATTTAAGTAACAAAAAACAAAAATTTCTTGTGAGTTCAAATAATTTCTACAAGAAAATCATCTCAGTGTCACAACATCTATAAAGCAATCAGTATATCAATGGATATTTAATTAAAATTTCTGATTAAGATACTTTTAAAGTATGGAGTCCTTCTTCAGTATCAGCCCCAATTCCCACAAAACAATAGATAGAAATTCATTTATCACCAAACAGCAAGATAATTTGAGCATTCCAACAGACTGTAGGAAATGAAACACTGATCAAGCCCAATGTAAATCTGACTTTGGTGCATTTCTGTTTCATGATATCAAATAACAAATTAAACAATGATAATTAAAAGTCAATTTTTGATGTTTTTGGAATTTATCAAGGAAACTATATTGCTGAAGGTATACTTACACAAATATGTTGTGGTAAAGGCTTCTCATTGCTTTCTGTTGTCTTTCATATTTTACCAAGGTTCACTTCCCTTCTTACAGTGTATGGTTACCTTAATTTGCCTGGGCCCAATGGGGAGATCACATATTTTCCATTGGGAATGGCTGTTATGAAATTCAATGGGTAAACATTTGTGAATTTGTGATGATCTATGGTTCAGTAAATTAGATCTGATAACCAGAAATCTATAATATAAAGATACAATTTTGCTTGTGGTGCTTTTTTTTATAATAATACAGCAAATCTGGCATATTCTAATTAAGATTCTTGTTAAGGAATAAACCTATTAGTAGTTAATTTTTTTGACTTAATACTTTTAAATCAACCCAATAATAATGATTCAACTTTTGTATGTTTGGATTTGCTAAAAAAAGCAGAAAAGAAAATCATATCAACATTTAAAGCAGAAAAAAGGAAATGATTATGAACTGCTGTATAAAATAATGATAGTCATGAAAACATATATTTTTATACAGTCATGATTTTTTAAAAATATAAATGTATCATTATGTTATTAAAAAATTATTAACCTTTTATTTTTGTTTTCCTCTTCTATCATGTGTATTCTACACTTCATTCATTGCATGGTGAATGATAGATCAAACATCATATAGCTAAAAATTCAGCTAATAACTATTTGTCAGAGTTATTCATTCAATCTCATATATAGGTTTCATTTTGTCACTGAGATATTTACTGTTTTTTGCCTGTTGCTCATGATTCAAACCGAGTGATGAAATCAAATGATAATTTTTAAGACAGACAAGCAGATATTCCGAGTAAACTAAACCTTCTCCAAGACAAAAGATGTCAATATTACCAAAATGGGCAAAAATAAACAAACAAGCCACTTTTGCCAAAATAACTGCCAGAATGGATTACCCACAATGCATCACTGACCAATATTTATAAATAGTCGAGAAAAAATTGAACACTTGCGGCCTGACAATTGTGTCTAGCATGAAACAGCCTGTCACCTCTGAATGTTGACTTCAATGTTCACTTTTATATATATATATATATATATTCAGTTGTATGGATATGAGTTTGTAACCTGGGGTTTCATGCTTTTGCAATCATCAGACAAACTCTGATGATTGCAAAAGCATGAAACACAGCGTTAAAAAACTTATATCCACACAATTGAATATGTTAGTTCTATCACTGAAATTAAGCCCTTTCTAATAGAAACTGTGCATATATAATATATATAGAAATTATATTATTTTATATATATATATATATATATATATATATATATATATATATATATATATATAATAAAGAGTATAATTTCTGCTGAAGTCATTCTTTCTTGTTATCTGTGTGGTCAAAAGACAGAAAAGGAAATGTTTGTTCTTCATTTGATCCACACAACTCAAAATAATGAAACCCTATACTTCATTTGACTGCTTTTTCTTTCACTTTTCTATGCCCAAATACTGCAAAAATTTTCAACTACAACTGCAAAAGTTATGTTTTTTTTAAACTCATAATGTGTAGATAGAATATAAACTGAGTGTTGTACAAATTTTTCCTTTTATTAAATGAGTCAGTCATACTGACTCATATAATGTTAATGAAAAATAGCCTACTAAGTGCAATAATAATTTTCCCCCTTCAAAATACTCATCTTCGGACCTCACAGATTTATTATAGTGTGTGTTACAAACATCCTGCAAACTCCTCTTTAGGGATTGGTATCAGCTGCTTCAATATGTTCTCCTTGATCTTGGTTTCTGTCTGTTCAATGGCAATGTTAGCTTTGGGAAAAACTAAATATCCCAGAGAGATAAATCTAGTTTCTAATTGAGCTGGTAGTCTTGCCCAAGACATGAAATATATGCAAAATCATTCACTGTGAATGCAACTTTTATGATATTCACCTGTAAACTGAACAACATCACAGAAAAGCATCTACTTATGCATGCACAATAAGATGCTCTCTGATTAGCTAACACATTATGTCAAGGCCTCACAACTGGTTCTTGAGATATTAAGAAATGTCTGCCCACTTTTCAGAAAGATCTCATATTTCAGATGTGAGTATGTATGTGTGTACCAGTATATGTAACAAATTGTGTATTTATTAATTCATGTGCCACTTTTTCTTTGTGTCATTGATTAAAAAAGTAGTGAAAAGGAAACAATTTTTTAAAATTTTCTTTTAATTTTTTAGCTTTGAAATTCCTCAAGAATCATTCTTGGATTAATTCAGACAAAAGATAGTAAGGAATCCATATTGCCAAAAACAAAAATAGATCAATTCTTGTGAATTTCCCTGTTATCCCCAGACAGACATTCAGTTTGAATTACAAGCAGAAAATAAAGCAATTTTTGTGAAAAGGAATAGAAAAAAATGATAAAGAAAGAAAAACAACTGATTCTTTGTTCAGCCCCACCACTATATTTAAATGTTCAAATAGAATTTGCCAACAACAAATTAAGTTTAGTTTTTCATTTTCATGATTTCTTTTTCTCACTTATTGATTTTTTTCTTTCAACATTTTATTGTACATTTCTTTTCAAACCATTAAATTTTTTATTCTTATTTTTGTACATATTATTTAATTATTTTACTATCCTTTCTTTTGATAGATGTCTGCTTGTAGGTAAGGTTTAACAAGCCAGTCATTTAGACCATGAATAGTGAATTGAATCCTTCCTTGGTGCCCTATATTTATGGTACTGTTTCAAAATTAAGCTATATTTCATACTAGCTTAAAAGCTGCCCCGTCAGGCAGCAATTAATCTAGCTCCTGCAGAGTGCTTTTGGCTGGGTCTTCAATTTGTTCAGGAGTTTGAGAGTCTTTAACTCTTTGTATTAGAAGCTCTCCTGACTGCCATTTGATCTGGGTTTTCATTTGCATGGGACTTTCTTTTCTTTACTGCAGCCTTGGCTCTTTTGATTGCAATCTAGTCTTCTGTTAGCAGAGATTTCTTTTCACGAGGCATACTGCTGCCATATGTGATAGGCAACAATAAACTACAGAAGAGCTCAAAATTGATTGCTGCATTTAAATATTGCATTAATATTTAAGCTGACCTTTTAAAAATTCAATGATAATTTTTCTGATGCCACTTCCTTTTAAATAAAATTTGATGTATGCAGGTCCTTACTTTTCATACAAAGAATTATTATTATTTCATGGGTGACTTTCGCATTTAATTTCAATTATTCCCAAATTTATTTCCAAGTTATAAAAATTGTTATCATACAAAAAAATTAGAAGACTGTGTGCCTTGCTCTGGGGTAATGGTTAGCAAACTGACATCCAGAACTGTAAGTAATGAATAGTGAGTCCAGTCCTCATTGCATTCCCTCTACTTGTGGTATTGTGTCTAAACTAAATTAAGCATCGTAAATATCAATCTTTTACTTTTTACTTAGATTTTAATTCCTATTTTTCTTTCCTTTCTTTCTTTCTTTTTTGTTTTTCTTTCATTTTTTATTTCTCTCTCTTATACCATTTCTTTCTTTCTTTCTTTCTTTCTTTCTTTCTTTTCCACTCATCTTTACTTCTTTCTAATCATTTGTTAGCAGTTTTAGAGTTTCCATCACTCTTGAGTTTTCTTTATTGCATCCTCTTTTGTTTTTTCAATTTCTTTTTGTTTTTTATTTCAATATATATATATATATATATATATATATATATATATATACTAAGAGGAAAAAATTGCACTACCCTAAATATGTCTTTCAATTGAGATGAAACTTACGGGTTATATGATTGGATTACATTAAATGATCACAATATATCAAGGTTGGTAGGCATATGTACTGCAAGAACCTGGTCCATAAGTGTATGATTGTTCATTTGATCACTTTTGGCAGCATTGTAGCACTATTAATAATGCATTCTGTCCAATATGCATGTAAATTATCTGAAAAGATGATCCAGCTTCTTAACCAAGTTCCTCCTCAAATTACACTAACTGAACAAAAAGGAATGTGTGAGCTTCTCCACGTTATGACATTTTCCTCCACTGGACCCTTTCACCCCCAGTGAATCTTAGATCATGTGTCAACCTCTAATGTTCAAGCATAAATTAAAACTTGTATGTGTGTTACTAAATCACAAAATGGTTGAAGATTGAAAAATTTATTAGAATATCTATTAACTTCTAGCATGCATGTACTTTGCCATGTACTTTGTCAAAATTTTCTATTGTCCTTTATACATCAATAAAGTAAAAAAGAAAGAAAGAAAAAAGAATGTGTCTCCAAGAAAGTTACTTTTATATTTTCTCATTTCATACTAGAAGTTAGTATATAGATAAAATCCAGGATTTTATAATGTTGATTTTCAAGGCAGGCAAAGCCTTCCCATTTTGAAGATTGACCCAACACTATCATAGCTAAACAGGTTTTTTACTCCTCTTGTTTATATTTATAGCATATGAAATTTCAATTCATAAGTATTGACAGAGAAACTATCAAGATATTTGATGTCAGAAAGCTTTTATTCTGTTACTAACATAAAGATTGTTATACTCTATTGATGTTTCTGATTCATTCTGCATGCTGGCCAGATGTGAATGCCACAAAGGCAGAGAACAAAATAAAAAAAAAGTTGTTCTCTGCATATAACCTCTGCACATCATGTTCAGTTACCAAAGCAAGCCTTTGCAATGAAAGTGACACTGGCCAATCAAGAACATTACCACTAGAAAAAGAGATGCCCCTGGGGACTAGAAAACCTGCTTAAAAGCATGTCTCTGATGACAGTGCTACTACTGCCTCTCAACATGACTGCACCTCTCAATGACCATTACCACACTCAGGCTTGACTAACCACCTCAGCTATCCAGGTTCGACATGACCTCGACTCTTCACGCTCACACCCTCTGCATCAGCAAAGTCAGATTTGTGACTTCTCCCAACTCGTCAAGCTTGCATCCTCTGTATTGGAAATGTCAGATTTGTGACTTCTCCTGATACTTCATACTCTCGCCCTCAGTATCAGTAAAGTCAGATTCATGACTTTTCTTGACTATTCATGCTCACACCCTTGTAACATCATAGTCAGATTAGTAGCTTTGCTAACCACTCTGGGCCACCACTTGGTAACCCACCGCCGTCACCTCTGCATAACCAACTTGTTTATAAGGCATTCTCTTCACAGTCACCACTGCAACAGTGTTCCACAAAACAGGCTGACCAATCACACCAATCCAACATTTTCTTATCACCTCAGCAACCCACTGCTGTCACCTTGGCATACCTGACTCTTGCATTGATGACTGCAAGGCATTCCCTTGCAGTTGTCCATAGAACAAGCCTATCAACCAACAAAAATGACCTACTATCATGACCATGATCAATCAACATATGCACCAAACATACCCTGTAGCATCAGACAGGCCAGCACAAGAAAGAGGTCAATTCTTAACCTTGATCACCATCCTGACAATCAACAACTGAAACAGACATTGCACCTCGGTTCAGCATATTGTTCCAAATCTAATCCTCGTTATTCCTTTCTCTCACAACCAAATGCTTAATATAACAAGATCAAGATAAATTTGGGAGGCATAACCTTTATATACAGAGGGCTACAAGTATTAATCAATTTAATACAAGCATCTTACAGGTCTATCTCTTTACCTAATACTCTACAGTAATTGATCAGCATAGTTTCATCAAAAATTACCAGAAATATTAAAACAGTGATTTCTAAAGCTTGAAATAATTGAAAGACTGTTGTAACACAGCCTTCCTGCTATAAGTCTTTGCTTGTGATTAAAACTAATTTCTTTACTTAAAATAAAGATTTCTGCTAATTCTGGGTCCCTCTGCATCTCTCTCTTTATTGCTAGATCAATCAATTTCTGTCTCAATTTTTGTATATTTTTCTTTTCTTCTCCCACTCTCTCTCTCTTCTTTTTTTCTCTGTTCACCTGATTTCTCTGTTTTCTTCTATTTTTCTACCTTTCTCACTCTCACTTTTTCCTCTATTTATACCTCTGTATCTCTACTTCTCTTTCATAACCACTTTCTTTCTCTTTGTACAGATTCATTTCCTCCCACTCTTCCACCCATCTCTCTTCTTTTATCCCTTTTTTCTTTTTAAAATAGTTTCTTCTTCCTATCTTTTCTTTGCTTTCCTTTGTCTTTTTTCTGTTAACAAGACTCTCAAATAAAGCAGATATCGACTAGTTTATTCACCATGTCTAATGCTTTATATTGCACTCAAAAAGTTTAAGAAACTAACCAAAAAGGAGAATTTAACTAATAATAAAAAATACTTCATCACAAGACTGACCTTGTTGATTCAAGAAAAAACTTTTTATCTTAGCTGATTCCATATAATTATATCCTGACAGATGAAAATAGGAGTTAGTAATTTCTAGTCAGCAAAAATAACAATAAGAAAAGAGTTGTTGCTTTTTTTAACTTCTTCCATTATTTTGTTAGTGATGCTTTAAAACATTGTAACAATCCAGTCTCTTAAATAACTTTCTAATCAACTTTGTTTTTACTAAATGCTCACCAGGCTCAGTAGTAACTCAAGTTAGAGAGTTACAGAATGAGGTTGTTTTATGGATATAAGAGGTGGAAGTAAGTGCAGATTATGAGGATATGTAGGAGTGATAATACCTGACTTAAAGAGGTTAAGATTGTGGGGATCAGGAAAGCCTCCTTTTGGGAGTCTAGTCTACAAAATAACTATTCTCAGGAGGAAGCTGCGGGAATAAAGTACTTTGAAAGATTCATGTTGTCTGTTATATTATTTCAAGGGTTGTTTTGATTTATTTTTTAATCTTTTGTGTTTCTATTACTAGAGTTCAGCTGAGGTGTTTTTCAATCTTCCTTAAGTGTGTATTTATTCTGCTAGGGTTTTTTCCTGGATTTAGACTGGGACATCAAAAGTACTTGTAGACAATTTATTATTTTGAGTAATAGGTTCATATTTTCAGTATTTACTACTATATTTTGTTTAATGCTTCCTTCACATTTTTTTAGACATTTACTTTCTCATTTATCAAGGATTTTTTTCTTATAAATAATTTACGTATCAAAGATTGCTGAAGGCGATGGTAATCCATCAAGCAGTCTAAAAAGAATTCAACTGTATTTCTTGAATAAAATATTTGATCGTTTTTATGAGCAGATACATAAAACACTGACAATTTCATTTCTCAATTATTGAAGTATCTATTTTTGATTACAGGTAGCTACATTCAGTGGATTTTGTAGCGAGCCTGCTAATGCAGTCTTTTGTCAAGTGTATATACACAGCTTCCTTCAACCCACCCACATTTGTAAAATAATGACTGGCTTATCGAAGAATTTCAGACATTTATTTTCCCTGTAAATTAATTTCCTTGCTTCAACATTTTTCCTTTTTTTCATTCTTGCTTATTCTTTTTTAGATCTAATTAATGTATTTATCTATTTCTCTTTCAAACTAAATGTCTGTACCCCACAAAAACCTTATCATCTTTTGCATGCACCAGATAAATTTAAATAATAAATTTAGTTCTATGGCATATCAAGAATTGGACATTTGTTTCTCCTTCAAATAAATCTGTTTTATACCTTCCTTGAGCTTTCTTTTAATATCCAAGATGCAACACTTAAAATTCTAACATTTGGTTGATAAGTATTATGCCTTTACTCAAAGTTGACAGAGAAACTGCACAAAGGGAAGTAATTATAGCATTCTGTAATATTTCATACAATCATACATCTTAATATTTGCTGTCTACCCCAAATTAAACAGAAAGCTCTCTCTCTCTTTCTCTCTCTCTCTTCATTAAAAATGACAAAGATTGTTTATATTATCATAATTAAATTTTTAGTTAACTTCTCTTGTCCCTTGAGAAATTCACATCAGAATATTTGTGTGCGAATATGACATAAATTTTTATATAGCAGCAGAATTTTAGGCAAATGAATGACAAAATGAAAATGTTCTGTGTAATGCATTTCATGCCGTAAAAGGGCTTCACCAGACTAAAGTAATGTTTTTCTTGATGGAATTATATATATATATATATATATATATATGTAGGTCAGGAAGCAGGAGATATGAAAATTCAAGTGTTTGTTACAATTATGTGATGAAAGGAAATGCTGAAGATGTGAGAATACTGATATTTTAAATTTTTAGATTATTCTTTTTCAGATGTGCCTGGATATGCAGTCTAGCTCATCTCATTCAGTTTTCTATGCTCTCATTTATGTTTTTATTATTTTTGTTATTAAGTATACCACATTATGATAAAAGATCGGCCAAGAAAGTTGAAATGAAAGAAGCTGAACAGAAATTTCTTGCGGATCTAGCAATCTAAGCACTTTCTATACATTTTCCCATTAGTAAATTGATTTTTCTTTTTATTAAAACAGCATTCTTTAAGTTAAAATTATGGTAATTCCTGGAATTCTGCTAGATATACTAAAGGAATATAGCATCGAGAAAATCTAAAAGGTCATGGGAAACGTTCACATATAAAAACAGGAATCAATGTTGTCAATATATTCTTCTGATTTTTACTTATTAGTAATTTTTCTATGCTAGTCATGAGGGATAATTTCTTGAAATTCAATCACTTCAACAATCAAAAAGTTGTTGACATTTAAAAACCTTAATAAGAACTAAAAACAACAGGAAGTAGTAGAGAGCCATTATTGCCCCCATCCTTAAGGGACACTGCATGCAGAAGAAGAAAAAGTTGATATTTCATTATGATAAAAATATCAAACATAACTTTTTTTATGATCTCAGCTGGGTTTTTTTTTTTGAGTTTTTTTAGTTATGTTATTTTACCTATGTTGTAAAAATGATGGCATTTAAATATTTTCAAGCTATTGTTGTCATAGTCTGCTTTTTTATGGGAATCTGACTTTTTCACCTTTCAGCTTCATAAAATTCTTGGAACAGTCTGTCATAGCAAAAAACATGCCACTTGACTTAGTCTGTGCATGTGAGATAAATTTGCCTCCACCATTGCCAAAGCAGATAAGTCTTGTCTATTAATGAGTTACAAATTTATTGCAGACAAAAAACAATCACTAAGCAAATTATATAGTAAGATAACAAAAATCAAAAAGTCCTTCAGTACATTTTTCTATCATGTCGAGCAATAAAATTGTTCATAATTGTCTAATTGTCTATTCCAGTCTATTCATATTTATCTCTGCTATATTATTTGGATTTCTTTGATGAAACATTCTCATTGCACAGAGGAATTGTTGCTTTTTTATTCCATGTTACTTACTCCTAATTGCAGAATTAAAGGCTGAGGCTTTCAATAAAAACGAAATAAAATGAATGAAATATTAATAAAATATTCTATCTCAACGAGTTTGTATCTATTTTTATTGATTATTTCTACCTATCTACATAGTTATCCCAGCTTTTCTGTGTCTGTTGGTGGATGAAATAGTTGCATGTTTCAAATGCTGATTTTCAAGGTAGACAGGTTGTTGCTCCTTCATGAGGATATTACAACAATGTTCTTTTTAGCTGTCTGTCACATTTTATATCTGTTCCTGGCTATCAATCAATCTTTCTCTCTCTCTCTCTCTCTCTCTCTCTCTATCTATCTATCTATCTATATATATATATATATATATATTTCAATTTGAGTAATTCAGGTTGGCCTTTCAAGTAAAATATGGTAGCATAAAATTACCCTGCATTCATTGATGACTTGTGTTTTTTAAATCTAAATTTATTTTATTTTCAAAATCTCACTGTCAATATAATTTTCATGTTGAATTTATTATTGCTCAGACATTTGTATGAAAAACTATTTTACCAAATTATATATATTCAGAAAAAACATGAATTGTTTGGCAATTCTAAGTGATTCTTCAAGACTTGTACATCTTTGGGGAATAAGCTGCTATGATGTCACGAGTGTCTTGCAAATAGTATTATTATTGTCTACACATCCTAATGTCTTCTGCCATTAAAATGTGATATCGTTCAAAAAACTATTTAGCAAAGATAATTGGTAATTAGTTGAGATTAGAGATGTTCATAATGGACACAAAAAACACAAAAACAACACAACAAAAAACGGAATTATATTTATTTATTTAATATTTTTAATGTTTTTCTTCTCTCAATCTTGATTCTTTGTTTTTCTTTCATTGTTCTTTCACACTTTTTTCTCATCAGAGATAATATTTTTTCAATTAATTACTTTTCTTTATATTTATTTTATATTTTACTTTTGTGTCCCATTCTATGCTTCAACTTGTTCATTGTATTCCATACATTAACTGTTATATTGAATACTTCAACTGGTTTGACTTATATCCAATGCTTTGACTGGACCCAGTTACAACTCTGTGCTTCAAGTATTCTTCACATTCCATTCTATGCCCTAACTTTTTCAAGTTGCATTCTATACCTTGTCTGGTTTGAGTTCCATTTTATGCATTTACTGGTCAGACTTTTTGTATTGCTTGATTCATGTTCCATTCATTTCATTGATTTGTTGTTTTGTATCTTTATCAAACATTATTATGTCTGAAGTAATTTATAAGACAATAAAACTAAATTAATTAACTTTAAACCATTAAAATAAAATATGTAAGTAGTCAATATTTTACAGGTGCAAATTGTTTGCATTTCTTTTTAGCTTACATAAGTTTTCCCTTCTTTCAAACTTGCTTTTGCAATATTTTCTTTCTTTTTTCTTTCCTTCTAGGTTTTTTGTTTCTTTCAATTCTACGAATTCAGGATATTTTCTTTCTTCTTTTCTAATTCTTTCATTTTTCTTTCATTTCAACCCAAAATTCACATCATTTTTCTTTAATGCTTCTTTCCCTTTATCTTAATTTACTGTAATTCTTCAAATGCCAGATCACAGATTTTGCTTTTTTATTTCTTTCTTCCCTGAATTTTTATTCATATATTTCAGTAATTTAATTCTCTAGATAATTTGTTTCCTTTAATTCTTCCAACACTGGGGTTTCTCTCAAATATTTAATTCTTTCATTTCACCAACAGGTGTGTGTGAGTGTGTAATGTAGTATATCAACTCCATAATCTTTGCTAATATTTAACATGAATGAATAACATGAGAAGGGATGTCTAGAAATTGAAGAGGAATAAAACAAAATTTATTAATAAATGAAATAAAAGATTGCAAATCATCAAGAATCTGAGAAGAAATAAGTAGGAGAGAGTTTGTGAGTACATGATGAAAAAGTTCCAAAATTGGATTGAGATGCTTGCTTTCTGCTTATTGTTATTTGTGTGTTGGTGCACATAAACGGACTTGATTTTTGAAGAGGTAATAGAATATATGTCTTACCCTAAGAAGGTTTGGTGGCAAAAAAAAGCCAGCCCTATTACAAGACATTTTGGCATTAGATGTCAATAAACTCAAAGTATTTCCTGTTTGCTTTGATTTTTGCATGAGAAAAGATTCTGTGTGTAATGCTAACCACAAAATTCCTTCCATTTTAATCATCCATTTCTTTTTTTCCATCATTTTTTTTTATTTTATTTGTTGCTTCAAATCTTAAATTATTAGATTCTTATATTTCTATTTTCTCTCTTCACTGCATACATTCTTTCCTTTTTTAAATTCTTCCAATCTTTTTGTCTTTGTTATTTATTTCTTAACTCACACCACCAATTTCTTTGAAAAGAACCTCTATGAAAAATGCATCATTCTTCAAACAATCAGTATTATTATTTTCCAAATGTTTTTTTTTATTCTATCAACATTCTTTGTTATCTCTTATTTTTCTTTTATATTAACTTTTTAGTCCCATCACTCAGTTTTATATCAATTTTCTGTGACAATTTCCATAACTTTACACAACTAAAAAATCATTTATCTTGATATTAACATCTATCTTTTCCTCTTTTATTCACTTTGTAAATTCCACTGATAATAATTTATCATATTCTCAGTGAATTTTAAATTAGCATTTCACAGGGAACATCAGAAATGAAGAAATTGATGTTTCATCACAACAGTTTTTGAAAGAAGATAAATTTTCTATACATGTGACTGATACTTTCGTTATCATTAACCGTCTTAGAAAATAGTGTGAAATGTGTATAAAGCATAAATGTGTCATTGAATTTTCAAATGTGGAAGAAATTGCACTCATTGATATTTATCAATGCTTACTGAATGTTCAAAGAAACCAGATAGTGAATGTGAACACAGTTAGACAGTAGTAAATGTACTTCAGCCATGGGGATAAATATGTGTTCAAGGAGGCCTGGCACTCATGAAATAAAGTGTGCCTAAATCCGTTCACCAGGCAGATTAACACATTAAAACCAGTGAATTGTGTAAATTATTGAACATGAACTTCAATGTGTTGCAAAAATTGTTGGCAACATTGGAATATCAGCGAATTTATAGCCAGTAGGTTCCAAGGATGCTCACAGAAGAACAGAATGTAATTATAAGAGTTAGCATTTGACGAAAGATCATAGTTTTCTGGAATGCATCATCACCAGTGATGAGAAATGGCATCATAACTATGAGTTGGAATCAAAATGACATCCCACAGAGAGCAAACCTGTGAATTCCCTATCAAGAAATAGTTTCAAGGGACAGCCTTCAGTAGTTACAGTGATGTGTACTGTTTGGGATTTTGAACCATCAACTCAAAACATTTCATCATCATGCCTCTAATTTCCAGATTTAGGCTAGAGAAGAAAATAGTCCTTTGCTTGCAACATAATAGATAACACCAGGTTGTACACTATTGGGAAGACTATGGATCACATTGCAAATTTTGACTGAATGTTCCTACCATATCCACCATACTGTCTGAATTTGTCACAGTCTTACTTTAATTTCTTTGGGTCACTGAAAGATGAACTATGTCAACAACATTTCCTCACTACTATGCAAATATGCATTAAATTCACCAATGCATAATTTTATGAAAGCATTATACATGCTCTTGTTCATTGCTGACAAAATTCATAGCCAATGTTGATGATTATGTGGAAAAATATTATTTTATAATAGAAAGCTTGCTGTATCCAAGTGTTATTGCATTATCTGCATCTGTTGTAGTTTCCATAGAAATAAATAAGATGCATTATGTTATCCAATGAATGAAAAACAACCTTTTAACTGAAAATCTCCAATATTCTACATAATAAATATAACATTTTTCAGGCATAATGTTCACGTCCACTGGACATCAAATCTGGCCATGGGATGAATGAAAATAGTAGAATTCATTCTGTTTTTAAACAACTCTGTTTGTAAAAAGAATTTTTGGTTTAAATCATCTATATCATCATTTACCCAACTGACACTTTTAAATATATTGTAGGTTGTTTTCCTCAATACAGGAAAAATATCTTGTTAAAGGAAAGTAAGCCTTTCATCAGAAAACAGCATTGTCTCTAAACAAATTTATTTTTGTTTGCCTGAAAATAAAAAGTAGCAACTTTCATATAAAAAATATCTTTTATTTCTTCCTCTCATTCAATTTCATTCCCTGTCTCTATCTCTGTGCCTGTCTCTCTGCCTGTCTCTCTTTTCCTTTTATGCATAAAATGGATTGCCTTCTTTGAACTGTTTCTCAATGTAACTGAAAAAACCTAATGCAAGTAAATTTTCTTCTGGACAGATATGATGTGTGGTAGGAAAAAAAGCTTCATGAAATGAAATTTTGTTTATTGAGTTCCAAAATTGAAACCATATCTCAATAAAAACTGCCATAAAATAAAGATACCTTCTTTCAAGAATTTTTAAACACCTTGAGGAATTATTTTCAGGACATAAATGCTTCTTTTTTCCTTTTTTATGGGTGGGGAGTTTTGTAGATATTTTTCTTTTTTATTTATCCTTTTTTGCTTTTCTCTGAACTAACAATGACATTCTTTTCTAGAATTAATTCAAATTTCTGCGAGAAACCATTTCAAGAAATATTCAATATTGGAATGCTATGTTCTTAGAAAGATCAATAACACATGGTAATTATGAGAAATTCTTCATTTCAAAGACATCAATTTCGGAACATTTTTTACACCACCACACTTATCTTTGTTGTAAGCAAAAATTGAATAAATAAGTTTTTTATAGTTTAATTTTTATATCAAATCTCATGGGAAACTTTTGTTTTATTTTTTATAGAGAAAATATTTTTCCTCATGGGAATATTTATTTTATTTGAACATTATAAAATGTATGAAAATATTTTATCATAGAATTCAAGGAAAACATTTTTTATAAATAGTGTGACATCAAGGTAATCCATGATTACCTTGTGTGACATTCATTAAAAAATCTAAACAAAAAATGACAATTTAATCAATAAAAGACATTTTTTGCATCAGAGTGCATTAATACAGTTGAAGCATAAGAAGATCAGAAACAATAGACTTATTAAAACAAATTTTTCACACTTTAAACTGCAGTTTCAGGGTTAGGTTTAACCTTAACTCTACCCACCAAACTTGTCAGGAAAGACATGAATCCTTTGAGCATGGTAAGAAATTATTCTGTGCTGTTGGTAACCTGGTACAACCTGTTTCTTATTACTTGGGGAGGAAATTAATATCACCAGGTTACCTCTTTTCCCCTCACTAATAGTGAAATGAATGGTACATTGAACCTTATAGGTCATGGGAAATCATCTTTTTTTTTTTACAAATGTTTACCCTGTACAAGGCTCAAGAGTAAGAGGCACAGTTTATATGTGGGGAAGATAACAGTTAATTTTTTGTCAAGATAGTGATTGGAGAAGCATCCTCTTGGAGTTTCCACAAAGCAGTGGTTCATGGGAAGAATCTGAACTTACATCTCACTAATGGAATACAAAGGAAATGAGGATGGTTCACTACAGTGTGCATAGCATGGAAGGTTTTAGTTGTGATGGTTAGAATAGGTGAAACTAAGGAATGTAGTTCATCTGAACAATTTCCATGGAAATAGTGATAGAGCTGCCACAAGGACTTTGAGATGCTTTTGGATCCTTGAAAGATGAGAAACTGAAGACTGGGAAGCTTCTGCCTATATATTGCAACAGTACTTCATTTTTAGCCTGACCTGGCTCTTGTAAAGGAAGAGGATTGCAGGAGTCAGGTACTTACTGGAATCATACAGGGAGCTGACCATTGTTCCAGAATCTTTAGTGATGTATGAATTCCACTTGAGGTTTGGATTATGATTGGTGATCTGGGGGTTGATCAATGATGATGGAATGTAATTGGTTTGGTTTTTGAGGTATTGAATATAATAGCCAGTTTTTCTTCACTGAGATGTTAGAGCTAGGTCAGAGGACAGATTAGCTATGAAGATCAGGACATATAGAGTTTAGGAGGTGCACCTATATACTATTGTATCATCAGCATAGATATTCACAAATGATCAGAGTATACTCTTAGGCAGACCAGTAGATATGTAAAGTAGAAAGATGGTTGGTCCAAGAAGTGATCTCATGGGGATACCTTTGTTGATTGTTAAAGCTTCAGAGAACAGGCCATTAATAACTTCATTCAGAGACCTACCTGTTATGAAGGACTTTCTGATATCAATATGAAATCATAAACTAAATTTCAAAAGAACATACCAATACATACATACCATCTTCACTAAAACATAAAAATCTGATTATAGACTTTGATTCTAACTAGTTTCTAATAAAACCCATTTAAAGAGAAAATGTCTTTTTATCCTCAAGTGTCGATTACATTTTGCTTATGATTTTATGTAAAGCTGAATTTAATTTGGCATACAACTCTTTCTAAGTTGTATTTTGAATATATGTTATGCTACATTAACAGTATTCAGAAATGCAAAATTAGTCAACAAAATTTAATGATTATATAAGAATTTAATGAGTGA